TACTACACTGTTATAATCACCTGGGGAGTTCTGATGAAATCCCACTGGCTGAGCCCCACTCCACACCAAAACCTAAAGTAGGACCCAAGCTTGGATTCGTTTAGCAGCTCTGCAGGAGATTCTAATGGAAGACGCAAATCAGCAAGCAAAAATTACAGCTCAATGTCTGGGGAGTAGACGCTAGATGTATGCACATGATCCCAGAGAAACTTTTAGCAGGGAGTCGCTTGCCCAGCAAGTTTTCTTTGATGCTTATATATTCCTCCCCTGCTTCATTAATCTTAGGAGGCACAAATCATGTTTTTCTAAACTGTCAGTGCCTAGCACCACGTCTAACAAATAATAGATGCAGGAGTTTGTCAATGCAACAAGAAGTGAGCTGTATTTCTAGGATTAATCCTCCAACTCCTAGAAATCTCAACACAGTATGTCAGGACAGAACAGTAATTACACAGCTATCATCTCCATAACAAACTCTCGTAAATGCACTTTTCCCTAAATATATTGCCCAAGCTTCAAGGCTAGACATAACGATTTCACACACCTGGTTTCCAGAGGGAGGAGCCACACGGGAAAAACTTTAAATTAATTAAAAGAGACACTCAGGCACACTTCATGCCATTTTTTAATCTCCATTTTCCTGTGATAAATACTGAATGATAGAAATGGGCCCAGGCTAACAAGCTGGAGGCAGGACTCTACTGGAGGTCAGAGACACTGTAGCAGCTCCAGGGCTTAGAAAAGGAAGAAAGAAACCAGCACCCTACCTTGGCTGTGTCAGTGATGTGTTGCCAAACAATACTCCAAAGAGTACCCACTGGATATGGGCTCTCACCGTTCTTTGGCTCATTTAAACAAAAGGTAAAAAGGAACTACCATGTATTGCAATTAAGAAGTCAGAGAATAATAACAGTGACGACTGCCTGGAGGTTCTCTGGTGTCAGTCACTGTACTAAAGGCTTCTACGCAAAAATTTCATCTAAGTGTGGTAGCCAGCCTCCAACACGGCTCCCAGTGCTCCTTACCTGCTAGTACGCCAGCCTTTTGTATTCCCTGTTACACTGAATCAACATTGACTCATGTGGCCAACAGAAAACCACAGGTACGAGAGTCTGTGATTCTGAGGTTAGATGTCTGAACAGATATAAAGGTCTGTGACTTCTGAGGTTAGATGTCATAACAGATATAAGGGTCTGTGACTTCGGAAGTTAGATGTCATCACCACTTACTTCCAACATGACCTCCTGCATCACCTGCCTGGAAAGCCAGCACCATGTCAAGTGGATACTCACACAACCCTGTGGCGAGGCCCACATACAGAGGAATCCATGTGCCAGCCTTGTGACTGGGCCACCTTGAAGTCTATCTTCCTGCTCTCACCAAGCCTTTGGGTCTTCCAGCTGAAGCCCCAGACATCCCAGAATAGAGGAAATCCATTATTCCTGGGCCCTTTCTGAATTCCTGATCCTCAGAATCTATAATTGTTTGTTTCATTTGAGAGGGGGTCTCATTCTGTCACACAGGCTGCAGCGCAGTGGCACAATCGTGGCTCACTACAACCTCTGCTCCCAGGCTCAAGCCACCTTCCTACCTCAGCCTCTCAAGTAGCTGGGACCACAGGAGCATGCCACCATGCTAATTTTGGTATTTTTTGGCTAATTTTTTGGTATTTTTGACACAGATGGGGTTTCCTCATGTTGCCCAGGCTGGGAGATAATGTTTTAAAAACTAAGTTGTGTAGTGTTGTTTTTTTATGCAGCAGAACACCATTCATACCTAAGAGCTAGATACTTTTATATTTCCGTTGAGGAGAGTTTGACCGATTCAGTCATGGAGATACTAAGTGAAGCAATGGGGTTGGGCATCCGGTTTGCAGATCCGAGGTCTTGCTCTCGTTCTGTCCCAACAGAGAAGCATAAGGTATGGAACCTGATTCCCATTCTTTTTATTAAGAGAAAGTAATCATTTAATTAATACTAAAAGTATCTTGGTTATCCTCAAGATACTTTGTTCAACCTGCAGGGGACCCCCTATTCTGCCACGTATTTCAGTCATTTCTCTCTGGATAGATAAGAGGCTTCCTTACAGCACTCCTAAATAGCACACAGGTGGAGACAGCATGTTGTACTGATCCCATGGACTCTGCATCAACCTGCCAGTATTAGCATCTCCACCACTTTTAGGCTTGGTGGTCTTGGACGAGTTAACTAAATTTCGCCAGTCCTCACAGATTTCTCACTTTAACACTAGGGCCAATGTTAACACAAGCATTTGTTCCGCTGCACTAGAAAAATACTCATGGCCAGGCACAGTGGTTCACATATGTAATCCCAACACTTTGGGAGGCCAACCAAGGTGGGAGGATTGTTTGAGCCCAGGAGTTCAAGACCAGCCTGAGCAATACAGTGAGAACTTATCTCTACAAAAAGTTTAAAGATTAGCCAAGCATGGTGGCATGCACCTGTGGTCCTAGCTACCTAGGAGTCTGAGGTGGGAGGATCACTTGAGCCCAGGAGGTCAAGGTCAGCCTGGGCAACATGGTGAACCCCTTTTCTACAAAAACTACAAAAATTAACCAAGCATGGTGATGCACACCTATAGTCCCAGCTATTTAGGAGGCAGAGGTGTGAGGACTGTTTGAGCCCAGGAGGTCAAGGCTACAGTGAGCCGAGATCTCATTATTGTACTCCAGCCTGACAGAGTGAGACTCTGTCTCGGAAAAAAAAAAGGAAAAAATATTAAGAAAGTACTTAGCACATTGCCCGGCACATAGTGAATGTTCAATAAATGTCACCTATTTGTAATATTATCATGAAGTATGTGTTGAAAAACGTCCATCATGTTAAATGGCCAATCAAAAGCTCTTCTCTTAGTCTTTCCTCGTGTCAGAAAGACATGAAATAAGAGCAGTTCTTCAGAATGACAAGATCTCACTGTGCAGGCACTGAAACCTTCAGCTGCCAGGCTGGCCAAGCGGCTAAAGCCTTGGCCATGGCTCCTGCGAGAGTGCAGCCTGCCCTGCTGGGGTGATGAGAGGATCGGGGAAAGCTGCCACATCATTGCACTGTCCAGTGGATCATGCACAGGCAGCAAGTTGGCTCTTTCCTATGAGAACAAGCAAAGAGGATCTCTCTCATCCTGGTGGTATTAACAGGGGTGTAGAGGCAGATTCGCTTCCTCCTAGCTCAGGCGTCCCCAAACTTTTTACACAGGGGGCCAGTTCACTGTCCCTCAGACCGTTGGAGGGCCGCCGCATACTGTGCTCCTCTCACTGACCAACAATGAAAGAGGTGCCGCTTCCTGAAGTGCGGCGGGGGGCTGGATAAATGGCCTCAGGGGGCCACATGCGGCCCGCGGGCCGTAGTTTGGGGACGCCAACCTAGCTCTTAATCCCATTACATTCTTATCATTTCATCAGTGCAGACAAAGCTCCTTAGCTCTAGCCAGCGTTCACTCCGTTGCTTTCCTTTGGGGTTCACTCTCTGCGGGTCTTGGGGCTAATTAAGCTGCCATGAGTCTTACTGTTCCCTCAGGGGATTAGATACCCACCTTCCCTTGAACTTAGCTTTATGACTCCTCCCTTTTTTCCCCTTAAACATGAGAAGGATTTCTGTGTAAAATTCTGTTTGGGGTCCAAAATATTTCATAACCTTTCATTTCTGGGTAAGATCAAGAAAAGGGAAATTAAGAGAAATACCAGCCACATTTGCCCATCTCAAAATAAGCACAAATTCCTAGACTTACAAGGTGGTGGGTTAGGTTTCTGGGGAGATGTAAAAAGGAATCAAGATGCAAAGCTTGCCCTCAAGTGACACCCCCAAGTCCAATGGGGAAGATTAAAAAATAATATTAATAACTACAGTATAAAGTGCCATGATGGATGCCATGAGCAGCAGGGAGAGGGTCCAGGAGACCAGAGGAGGGAAAATGACAAGATAGGAACGCAGGGAAGGCCTTCCAGAGTAGTCAGCCTCAGGTGTGGGCCCTGAGGACAGGCAATCCTGACCCTGTCCTCAGGAGGTGAAGAAGGGCAGGGAACCTATTCCAGGCAGAAGGCATGGGAGGCAGGGAGCCAGGAAAGCATAAGGCAGCTATGGAAATGCTACGGATTTGTGTTCTTCCTACAGTTGAGAGACATTTTTTAAAGAAGCAGGAACAGGAATACAAAATTTAAAGTAGTATAGTAGATAATATGCTGGCAAAGTTTAGCAATAAAAACTTTCAAGAAAGAAAAAACTAAAGGGTAATTCGCACATTATAGAGCAAATCAGTGACGTGTGGATTTCATGACTAAGAGTAAGTAACATATTCAAATTCATTTCTCAGTGATCATGAACTTAAAATCCCTAAGAGATTAGTGATGTATGCTTTCAAAGGAGGCCATGCCAAGTGAACTGGTGGATCACTCTTCCCAACACGTTAAGTAAGTTTCCTTCACTGAAAAATCTTTTGCTTGAACCATGAACTACCAAATGGAACACTTTCCAACTATTTGTTTTCCTGGTCTACTTGTACAAAGTTTTACCTAAAGTGAGCGGACACACATTACACGACCTAAGCCTGGGGTCTGTTACTTATCAGCAGAGTCATTTCATTGATATTCAAGAACCAGTATGTATTAGCCAGACCGATTTCAAAGTACAGTAAGTGTGTATCCGCAGTGAACACGATTATCGATAAGTCTGTGGGTGTGTGGACCTTTGTGTGTTTTTCTATCCTTTGGCCCAAACTTAGAAAGCTACTGCACCAATTAAGCTCTGAAACAGAATTTCTGTGAATCAGAGTTCCCTCCTTTTTCTCCTTCTTATAACCAACAAGCTAAATTAAAAAGAAAATCCAGACAGCATCATAGGCCATTAACCAATCTCAAATGGTGGGTAGTGAAATAGGAAATAATCTCTGGTCAGCATTTCTGTGTCCTCCCAAGTCCGACAGATTCTCTGCATACAACACAAAACTGGAAGACATGGCCCCGTGCCAGGCTTCCTTAGCAGGCTTACCATATACCACATGCTTGGCCACTTGGGATCGTTGAAATAGGTAGACTGGGCACGACTGAAGTCATAATCCCTCTTTGTCCGCTTTCTAACCACTTGCTGTTGGACCCATTCCACCTGCCAAGAAGGATATTTGGTGAGTATCCACGTTCCATCAGGGTTAGCACAACATAAATGACAGTCTGAGGCATTTCCCATCTTAAGTCAATGCTATTTAAGTCACAGGTTTCATTGTGGCAACTAAAATCTCTATGTGCTCAGATATTTCTTAGAAACCCAGGGTTTTTTTATTTGTTTAATGTAAGTAGGTGTTTTAGTTTATTATATACAGATTATCTATATATCTCAACAATACGCTAACCTTTTAGCTTTCTCAGAAATCCTATTTTACTTCCAATTCACTACATATTAGTAATGTTAATTTTTAGAATAATCCTTACTTTATACTAAGGGCTGGCCAACTTTTTCTAGAGAGGTTCAAGTAATAAACATTTTAGGCCTTGCAGGTCACATGATCTCTGATGCAGTCACTCATTCTGCCATTACAGCACCGTAGATGATACATAAATGAATGGGTGTGACTATGTTCCAATAAAACTTTATATACAAAACAAGGTTGCATTTTGTTCCACATGCCACAGTTTATAATTCCTGACTTAGAGTAGGCAACAATTTTTTTAAAACATTCTGGGATCAAAATACTCCAGGATCACATATTTTTTAAAATGGCTTTCTACAACACAGTGTGGTAGAAAAGCACTGTTTAGAGAATTAGAAAAACCGAAGGCCTATCCTATCCCTGGCACAAACTGGAGAAGCCGATCAATTTCCTGAGCCATAGGCTCCTTAACAGCTCTAAAATTCAAACATGCTAGATTTAAGAAAAGTCTTAACATTTAGTTATAAGCTTGTGTAAACAAAGTAACCAGAAACCTTAAGTCTAATGTAGAATTCATAACCTAGAGGTAGGGGTATGTATGGGAAACTTTCTTTAAAACAGATTGTCCTTATGGCAACACAAAAATATGCATGTTCCAGTTTTAGTGGGGTGTCTCACACGCAGAATCAGTGTCGGTGACATTCTTCAATTTGTTCCTAAATACTCCTTTGATAGCTAACTTAGTTATAACGCTCTGAAACGCTTTGTTCCACCATTTATCCCTCCTCTCTACAAAGGAATTTAAAAATGAGTAGGGAGGAAGGGAACTTTGTGGTCCACTGCTGGAATTTCATATCCAGCCAGTAAAGATTTTAAAACCTCTTTCACCTACTCAATTAAAAGATTACTGGAGGAGAATGAATCCTATGACATCCTTCTTAATCAAAGTAGAGCAGCAAGAATGGGCATGCATGTACATTTTTTATTTCCAGGAAACATTTTAACCTCTTCATTTCAAAAAAAAATCTAAGGAATGAGGTTCATTCACTCATTTATTCATTCGACAAACACTAAGTGCTAGGTACTGTGTTAGAAATATAAAAATGAGTAAGAATTAAGAATTACTTCAATGTAAGAACCTCTGAAGGACTTACACTTTATCAAGGAAATGATTCTCCACTTCATGAAAATAACATTATATCCATAAATGACATCTGACATAGGCCCTATCACTTGTATTACTCAGACTATTTATATTACTATCTATAAGTCTTATCCCAGTAAAGTTAACCAGTTCATATTTGCATGTTTGGTAAAAGAAGACTGCTTAGACAACTCTTTTCAAAACTCATCCTCTATTGGCAGTGGCCTTTCCTAAGGAAGCATTCATAAATTCCACACTGCAAACTTATATGTGTGCATAAACCAGGAAGTATCACATCTTCCCCAGTGTGGACTCAATAAAGAGACTCCTAGACATCAGGAGAGTCTATCCTGGGGTGGGAGTGAATAACTGTTCCTTAGAAAGACTCTATAAATATTCACTTTTCCCTGTGCACACATTCAGACAGACAAATGAAATAAGTATGTGAGAAAACCAAATGACAGCCATTTTCCTAGATGAACTATAGGTACTAAAATAGAACAAAATATCTTACCCAAAAGTATCCCTTCTATAATTTTACCAAACAAAATGCTTAGTTACAGGACTTGGTGGTAGAAGGTGACACAGCCACTTGGCAGCTAGGTTTGACTACAAGTCACTCTGTCTGATCGCAGGGCTGCAATACTCAAGAAAAGTTCAGTGGGTTTTTTTTTAGTGTCAAATACCATGTATTTTGCCTTGGTGCCTTACGGGTATGAATATATAGCCCTGTATTTTTTGGAAAGTGGGAAAAGCACCTCTTGGATCGGAAGGTTTCTATGACTGGAAAGACCATATTTATATTTTTAAGCTATTATCCATATGTCTATCCTTGAGCTCTTTAAGGAAAAAACCAGAGGTAATGCATTATACAGACTTTATTTCTTGCCAAGAAGCCTCATGCAAAGAAAAGACACTTTAACATTCATTTTCATAAAACTATGGTCAGCCCAGGAGAAGGGAATTACTGTGTGCCTTGCCTCACTGGCCTAACTTTTGAAAGTTCTATTTCCAATACATTAAGGAACTACAGTTAATCCAGAGCGTAAAAGCTACAGGCCTTTTCAAATCATCAGTCTATCCTTCATTAATTTAAACATACATATGCTACGTGGTTTCAGGGACACTCTCTCCCTCTACTCACTGTGCTCTCTTCTCTTGGACCTTGGTCCAAGTAAACATTGTGCATTTGCTGCTTAAGAACCTTCATCTGAAAATGTCCTCCTTCATAAGATCCAAAACACATTAATTGACAATTATGGAAAGCCTGCCTTCATAATCTCAGCTGAACTTATATCTCATTATTTTGGAATTTACCAGCTTTCTGATACTACACATGGGGAAAGCAACAGGAGGAAAAAAATGTGATCATATGAATGTAAATTATATAAGTCATTACATAAATATAAATGGAAACAAATTATGCTGTTGCTTTAAAAATGCATCCTGTTGCCGGGCGCGGTGGCTCAAGCCTGTAATCCCAGCACTTTGGGAGGCCGAGGTGGGTGGATCACAAGGTCAAGAGATCGAGACCATCCTGGTCAACATGGTGAAACCCCGTCTCTACTAAAAATACAAAAAATTAGCTGGGCACGGTGGTGAGTGCCTGTAGTCCCAGTTACTCGGGAGGCTGAGGCAGGAGAATTGCTTGAACTCAGGAGGCGGAGGTTGCGGTGAGCCAAGATCGCGCCATTGCACTCCAGCCTGGGTAACAAGAGCGAGACTCCGTCTCAATAAAAAAAAAAATAAAAAAAAAAAAAAAAAAATGCATCCTGCAGTGACAGGAAATCAGCCCTTTAGATATTAAAAAGTATTATGCTAATAATTAAAACATATACTAGTACCAAATGTCTGCAGATATACCAATGAAATAGCATAGAAAGTCAAGAAATTGCCCCAAAACATGGAAGAATAGAGTATATGATAATGGTATTATCCTAAATCAGTAGAGGAAAAACAAACTGCTTCATAAATGTTTTAGAACAGGTTGGTTGGAACAAAAACCAACTGGAAAAAATAAAGCTGAAGCCATTTCTCATGTCTTAGATCAGAATCAATTTCAAATGAATCAAATATTTAAACGAAAAGGTACTGTAAGAAATACGAGAGATGTTTAAAACTAATCTCAGAGTGAAAGACTGTATCTAAGTATCATATAAATCAAAGAGATGATTTAGAAAAATTGACTCATTTAACTACATAAAAACAATGTAAACGACATGGCCAAAAAAAAAAAAAAAGAAGAATCACAGGGAAGGTCAAAGACAAACTGGGCAAAAGTGTATAGCTCCTACCGTGAACAAAAGACTATCTTCCTAATATATAGAGTTTCAACAATTAATAAGAGAAAAATTCACTAGGAAAAGTAGCAAAAGATAGGGGTAGAAAAACCTCTGCAAAGGTAAATCAGGTTTTTTTGTTTTTTTTTTTTTTTTTTCTTTTTTTTTTTTGAGAGGGAGTTTCGCTCTTGTTACCCAGGCTGGAGTGCAATGGCGCGATCTTGGCTCACTGCAACCTCCACTTCCTGGGTTCAAGCAATTCTCCTGCCTCAGCCTCCTGAGTAGCTGAGACTACAGGCATGTGCCACCATGCTCAGCTAATTTTTGTATTTTTAGTAGAGACGCAGTTTCACCATGTTGACCAGGATGGTCTCGATCTCTTGACCTCTTGATCCACCTGCCTCGGCCTCCCAAAGTGCTGGGATTATAGGTGTGAGCCACCGCGCCCAGCCTAAATCAGGTTCTTAAACATACAAAATACACTTAGCCTCACGCATATTCAGACAAAAGCAAATAAAACTAAACTAAGATACCACTTTTTACCTTTCCGACACAAACAATCTAAAGGTTGATAACACACTGCTGGGGGTAGGGGGGCATGGGAAAAGGCTCATTCTCACATAATAGTGAGGGGAATGGAAACATGTACTAGTCTATGAAGGGTAATTGGACAATTCCTTAACAAAGGACAAAAGAAGTAATTTTATTTTTAGGAGTTTATTCTTCCTATTTACACATGTGAATGTGTGAGGTTATTTACTAAAACACTGCCAGTAAGAACTAAAAAGTGTAAACTTAAATAAATAACATATCTGTACGATGGAGTAAAGTAAAATACAACCATAAAAGAAAATGAAATGGTTTTAATGTACTACAGAGAACCACCTCCATGATATAGTCAAAGTGGAAAAAAAAAAAAGTTACAAATGGTTTAAAGGGATACTACATTTTTGGCAACTTTCTAAATCTGATAAACTGGTTGGTTACTGGCTAAATCCGAAAACTAGTTACCGGATACAGGGATAAGAGGGAGACCTTTTACTACATGTCCTCTTAAATCTTGTTACTTTGGAACCATGGGAATATATTACCTATACAACCTATCATGCACTCAAAGGACAATTTCAAATATGACTTAGCCTCGGCCCAGTGGCTCACACCTATAATCTCAGCACTTTGGGAGGCTGAGGCAGGAGGATGGTTTATGCCCAAGAGTTCAAGACCAGCCCGGACAACATAGCAAGACACCCATCTTTGAAAAAAAAAAAAAAAAAAAAAAAAAAAGATGTTTAAAAAAAACAGCCAGGTGTGGGGA